TAAGTCTGGCGGTTTTCAATTTTCACTTACTTGAGTAGTTTTAATTTTAATTTTAGTCGGCTTCTGTTTAAGTTCAATCAATTATCTTATGAACTTGTTAAGTTGGTTTCAAATGTTAAAAGCAGAATTAATGGGCATTTCCATGTATCCAACATGATTGTCAAGACTAAAAGTTCATTAAATGTAAAAGTTGTTAAAAGAATTAAAATTCCTATGTGCGCGATATTATGCAAATGTCTTATCATCAGCAACTAACGTCAAGCGAATCCAGTCTGATTGCACGTTATTTTTTTCACGCATTTGTTTTTCAGCAATTCATAGATAATGCAGTCAAGTTTATAACGGTTTCTTCATTTTTATTTACACGTATTAATCTATCTACTTATTATTATATATTTTTTTAATGTTCAGATATAAACGAATGCAAAGAGAAGATGCATAACTGTCACAAGATGTACGGTGTCTGCACCAATCTTATGCCTTTCTTTCAGTGTACGTGTGCACTGGGCTTCAAAGGGAATGGTACTCATTGCATTGGTAAGTTACTTTGCGCTTTGTTTTAAGTAACTGTTTCTAGCTAACGAAACATCGATGAGCTGAGTTTAAAAAACATTTCACTGCAACTTTGAAGAGACATCAAAAAAGTTGGTGCAGACGTCACTTAAAATCGATCCCATCCATTTTCTTGATCCGGGGCTAGGAGTGTGTGCAGTCTAACCGTCGTTCAAGCTAACAAACTCTACATATGATTTCAGCAACTAACCTCTAACTTGTGTTATCATATTACAGCACTAGATCTGGTTTACATGATTGACTTAAAGCTTCCAACAAGCAGATGGCGTGAGGAATATCGAATGTCCAACTCCTCACAATTCCAAACCCTTGCCTTGGAAATAGAACAAGGGGTATTATTTTCGTTTTATTTTTTGTTTTATTTAGTGAGAGAATTATTCAACTTTTCATATTGCGTCTTGACTTAGACATTATCACCAGGAGTAAACAGCTAGTCAAATAGATCCCCTGTTACAGCTGTATCGCTATTCACGTTCCACTTTTCTTCGCTGTACCTCGGTTCTGGGAGCACATGAATTGTCTTCAAGAAGAGTTTTTCGCAAGCGTGACAAAATCGAACTGAGGTGAAATTACTGACTAATAAAGGAGATTGCAACGAGGGGGGAAAGGGGGAGTGTGGTACACGCCACTTTGCGTAAAGTAGTTAGTTGAAGGTGAGGCACGAAGATTGTATCGGGACAATCTTCCAACTGGTCAGCATCTTTTTAACGTGTTAGTCCTTTATCTGGAATAAACAGAGACCACCAAGACTGTTAACTGATGAACATTGCAACTCTTTCAGGTAAGGTACGTCTACAGAGATGACCCTTCGTTCTTACGGACATACGTTGTGGGTCTTCATAACAGGTATAAATAATATTATGTAATCATCTTCTGGAAAGGAGACGAACGTAAACCATCCAGAAAGTCGCTACTTAACCTTAGCCAGTTACCTGAAATTATAGCTACTCAATACGTACAGAGGGCCACACGCAATCCTGGTCAATGGTCTTCGGACGTGAGACACTTTCTTCTTTCCACCGAACGTTCATGGTACAGCACAATTGTATTTAGCAAATGACTTGGCGGACGTAGCCTATGCTGCACTCAAAGGAGCGAAGAGAATGAGTGTTAGTGACTTAGCGGATAGTTACCTAAATTTTTTTTTTCGAACTGGCGATTTTTGCCCTATCAATTAAAAGTCAAGTCTCCAGTTATCGCCTGAAAAGGATTCTTCAAACCGTCGCTTTCCTGCATGGAGTCATTTATAAAATACTCACTGCATTTGAAAAATTATCTCCTCATACCTTGCCTTTCTATTTTGAGTAGAAATCATTAACGCATAAATAGAAGAAGTGTTCATGTCTTCTCCAATTGATCTATTTTCTATTCTAGTGATGGAATTGTGTTGATTGAGGTCTGGATGGCGTTTGTCTCTGATGCAATACTACCAATCAGGCCTCTGAACCTGGCTGTGAAGAGGGGAGGACTTAAACACCTAGCCATAGAGATGGATGGTTATCATGTCACACAAGTAGCTGGTATGTTTAGATTTCCAGCCAGAAAGAAATTTTCATAAGCAAGAAAATTGCCGGATAGAGTTTTTCGTTCTTTATAACAAAATCGTTTTTTCGTTACAGAGAGAATTGACTGTCCAATAACGTGTTCTGAGCAGGCCTATTGTGAAAGAAACGGTTCTTCCTTTGATTGTGTTTGCACCAGAGGTTACATTGGTGACGGAAGAGAGTGCATCGGTAAGTTCGCAATTAGTAAGTTGGATTAGTGGCACATGGCGAACCAAGAATGCTATGACTAAGATGCATTGAGCCAAATATATTTCAGTTGTTCTTATTGTCATTTTTTGCCGTCTTCAGATCTGAATGAGTGCGAGGTTAACAATGGCGGCTGTCAGCATGTGTGTATCAACAACCCGGATGGTAGCTACCATTGCTTATGCAATCAAGGTTTCCTTCTTCATAGCGACAGGAAACAATGTCGAGGTAAACGATGAAAACATGGAATTCATATAAGTATGTTGGCAGTCACTTAATTTCTTACTCTGTGATTCGCAGCGTCTGAGGGTGACTTAGCCTATTGTTCCGCTGAATGGCGTCAAGATATTTTATGGAGTCATACTGTAGCAAGCAGTACAGACATCAGCTCTTGTCCTCAGGATCACCTGACTAGTAGTAAGTTATACATTGTACCTAGATATGCGCGTGCCATTGAAGTGCAAACTAAAGAGAGGAAGAGCTTCAACCACAGGTGATATACGTTGACTGGTGTTGATTAGGCATATTACAGATTCGTCTATCTAAGAAAAGGACTGGATTTTTCTGTTCCGATTCACTTCAGGGCGATCATTCCTATTTGATTCAAGTTTAATCCTATTGCAGGCTTTTTTGCAGAAGAAATCTCTTTCAGAACTACGATTTTATACATAAGTGATGATGTTTAAACCACTTATTTTATCTTTAACAACTGAAAACCGGGATGGTCAAAACTGCGACGAAGTATTATACTGAGTATGTCTGATAATGGTATTGATGCTGCCAATGTGTTATATTTTTTAATCAGATGAAGCACAGAGGACCTGCTTCAGTGGTGTCAGGGGAGGAGTATGGGGAGTTCCTGATCTTTCTCGGTGCCTGACAAAAGCCATGCATGAACTTCAACAAAAGGCAAGGATTCCTAACCGATGTCATAGTTTTCTCTCTATGTTACGCTTTTCTGCAGGGAATAAAATTTGTCATTAAGACTTGATGGCTATTTTTTCAAACTTTCCTCGAATTAGCTAGAAGGCCATTTATTGGTCTTCGCGTAAGAACGAAGTGACGAATCACCTGTCAGAAAAACTATTATTTCGTCCAGCAATTGTAATTTGAAGGAAGGTTTTGGCGTTAGGATATCCACAAATCAGTACATGGAACGTCAGCAGTAATCTTTTAAAAATGATACAATTAAAAACCTAGCTTACTTCACTGATTTTTTCTCGACAGGTTACAACATTGCTAAAAGGAGATGTCAGTTTTTCCGATTTGCTACACATTTCGAAGGAACTGCGAAATATCCTTGACCCCAAAGTTGACAAGATTTACGCAGGAGATATATTTGTGGCAGTTGATGTCATGGACACTCTAAATCAACAGATCAGCGCTACAATGACCAATGTCACTAAACAAGAGTTATCTGATTTTCTGCAGGTATGGAGTATAATTAATTTAACAAATTTTTCTCCATGTACATAATAGTAATAATAAT